AAGAAAGAAAGAAAGAAAGAAAGAAAGAAAGAAAGAAAGAAAGAAAGAAGAAAGAAAGAAAGAAAGAAAGAAAGAAAGAAAGAAAGAAAGAAATTAGGGTTTTTTTATCTCATTTGAGATTGGTCAGTGACAAAGTGTAAGAGTAACTCGGATATTAACAGTCACAATGTTGGTCTTAGCTTCCTGAAGTCAGAGCAGGAAAGAACATGGAAAGAGGAAAAAAAAAAAAAACAACAACAAAAACAAAAATAAAGACAAAACAAAATCGGTTAGACCAAGGCTATATATTACTGAGTAATGGACTGGAATTTAAATCCACAATGTATGACACCAGAGCTATGATCTTAGCTAAAGTCTAATGCCTTGTAAATTATGTGGGCTTTAATTAGGAAATGGCAAATTATTTGCATTTACAAAGGATTTTGTTATAGCAAGAACTGATCACATGATACCCCAACTGCAGAAACAAGAATTTATGGTGCTTCGAAATTCAATTGTAGTTATATGCTCAAGCAAGAGCTCAGCCCTTCTTTTAGCAAATCTGTAATATGTGGTCTGAGAAATATGTACTTAGCAACAATGTATGCAGTACTCCAATTGTGAACATGCTTTAATGTCACAGATGCTTAAAGTGTAGGATCCAGGACCTACACAAGGTGACAGATCCCACATTAAGTAAATAATCGTGGAGGACAGTCTGAGTGAATGTCCAGTGAGCATTGTTATAACCTTGTTTATAGGGACAGCCTCACTGTCTAATGGTTAACAGAGTCAGATACCACATGGCTGACGATGGTTCAAATTCCACTCCAATAGCTAAAAAGAAAAATATTGGGAATGTGCTCATGCATGCCCAAAGTCCTGACAGGATGGACAAATGTAGAAGGAATTGCATCATAACTATGCCTCACTGGGGAATGCTTTCTCCCTCTGTCTTCTCTGTATCTCTCTGGTGAACACACAAACACACCCTCTGGCAATTAAAAAATATATATTAAATTTTTGTTTAAAAAATCCCTACATCTTAAGAAACTACTTGTGCCTCACCAGTAGTATGTGTAACACTGAGAATCACCCACCCTGGACCCTGAAAAGCACAAACAGAAAACTAGAGGCCATATGTGGAAAATAGTCAACACAGGAGACATAGCAGGTCATGGAACAACAGGGTTTTTATCCAGATTCTATAAACATAAATTCTAGACAGTCATGTTTCTACACAAGGAGTTTGCTTAGAAATCCTATTTTATTTTAAGCACGTGAAAGAATTATGTGGAAAAGGTCCAACTGCTTCACCAGGCAACTGAAGGAATCCAAGGCACAGCAAGGCTTAAGAATGTCAGGCAAGTGGGACCAGCAGTTAGCATAATGGCTATGTCGCTGGACTCCTATTTAGTAGACTACAGTTCAAGTCCCGGACCCGGTGGCTTAAACTCACCTTGGGTGCCTGTGCATGCGTGCCCAAGATCCCGAAAGGAGAAAGGAGGAGAAGGGATTGTGGTGTGACCATCCCCTCTGGGGGGGTTATTTCTCACTTTCTGTCTCTCTGTCTCTCTGTCTTTCTGGCAAGCACATGCACCCTATGGCAAAAATCTCTCTCTCAAAAAAAAAAAAAAAAAAAGTCCAGGAATTTCAAAGAGATTTCAGAAACAGTATATGGCATGATGGTTACATCACTGAACTCCCACATAGTCGACTGCATTTGAGTCATGGATTCAGAGGCTTAAAACTCATGCCAAGCACGTGTCTTCTCTACCAAGGGGAGAATGGAGGAGAAAGGATTGCAGAGTGGCCATCCCCTATGGGGGTGATTTTTCACTTTCTGTCTCTCTGTCTCTGTCTCTCCAGCTAGTGCACTCAGCCTATAGCAAAAATCTCTAAAAACAAAACAGAAAAAAGAAAAAGAAAGAAAGAAAGAAAGGAGAGATTTCTACATGATGAAACCACCTTGGAATACCCAGGTGTAACCATTATGAATGATCACTTTCCTTCTCAGAAAAGTTATGTCCAAGCAAATACACTGACATCTCTACCAGATCCATTTACCATGTGTAGATGTGTTCTTATCGGTGTTCAAAACTCAGAGACCAAATACGACTCTTATAAACTGACGTTGACCAACTTGACACAGAATTAAAGAAAAAATGTCCATCGATATCAGACAAGGCTTATACTAGGACACACTGGAAACAATGGACTATTTTGAATTAAAACACTCTAAACAATTGCTTAAAGTTTATTTTATTTCTTTGGGGGAGAAAGAAAGGGATACTAGATAGGGTCTTGCCATGCTTTTGAGCCCATGGGCAACATGGCATGTTTGTGTTGGCCCAGGATGCAAACCCAGGGCATTCTCATACGGCTCTAGCATAGTACAACATCACCCCAGCACCTGTGCACTGCAACTGAGCCAGGAAATACTCCTAATAATTTTTATCTTGTTTGATCAGATTCTTATAGATATTTTGAAATAATTACATAATCCTGCAATATAAGGAAATAATAATTAAAAAAAAGAACCATGGATCAGGTGCCCTGCTGGGAGAGTGAAACATACTAATTCTAACAATGAGAACAGAAACAGAAAAAGGGCTTACATGTCCTTATCACTGTCCAAAATGGTATATGAAAGCACAACATGGCTAAATCAAAATGGGAAATAATCCAGAGGTAATTCACATGTTTTCTAGGGAATGCATTTTGATACTGTAGCAATTGTAAATGTATCTAGCATTCTCAGATTTCATGTCATATTAAATTTATAAACACACACACACAGGCAAGTGAGACCTTTTTTCCCCCCCAGAAAGAATCAAGAAAATAATTATGTTCCTCTATCAACCTTTCCACCATAATTTTTCTTGACTCATGCTTTAAGATCAAAGGAAACAATTACATACAAAAACTGGACCCCACAATAATAAATTTAGATTATGAATGAAGTTAGAGACACAAATAACAAAAGACAAGCACAGTTTGGTCAATTTATGATAGTTTAGTATTTAAAACATTACATTTTCCAAAATTATCTATGTGAACTGGGCAGAAAATGAGAAAATGCATTTGAATTGAAAGCAAAAAGTTTTCATAAATTGGAAATAAGTCAAAAATACTCAGGGCCATTCTGAAGATTGAAAGGGGCAAGTACATTCACACTCTGTTGCTCTACTTAGAATTACTAGGTGTCTTTCAAGCCTAGTACACATCAGATCAGTATTTTATAACATCAGACTAATGTTCTAAGTTTCAGAATTTTAAGAATTGTTTGCATGGACCAAAAGGTCATCAAATTTTTAAAAATTTAACAAATAATCCTGTTTCAGTGATAGTCAATTTCATTAGCATATTATGTTTGTCTTCATATGTTTTATTACTAAAAATACTCAGCTTTTATTTGAAAGTGTGCAATTTTGAGAAATATCATGTTAAAAAGTCTAACTTTCTCAAAATATTATAAGGTCATCTAGAGAAGATGGGTGATATTTTGTATGACTTTATCTCATATTTTGTTTTTTATTTTTTTTTAGAATAATGAATATCTTTCCCACCCACCCCCCCAAAAAAATAAGAACAAAAGAGTTAAAGACTCCCCCCCAAAAAAAATTCACAACTGGTCTCCAACTGATGAGGGAAATCAGTGTCTCAAGTTTTCAAACTTTTGGCTTCCATATTAACAAGATAGACAAAGAGAACAAAGATTTACCTATTATGATCATATAGACTTTGAATTTCTCCTATTCTAATTGGGTTAATAAATGTTTGGTAAAAGGATCTAATGAGTGTTCTGAACGAGCAAGAGGCAGATGTGAAATATTACAGGGATAATGTCACATTGCCATATATCATATGCCCTGAGAAGGTGTGTGTGCACACTATATAAATTTTGTCTATATTTTTATTATATTCTTAAAAACAGCTAGTTCCCTAAATAAATGAAAATAGTTCAATTAACAATTTGCCACTAATAGATACAACTCATTATAAATTTTATAATATAATTAATACTTTAATAACAAAAGTTTTCCAGAAAAGTCATATATTTTTCCAAAATAATTTAAAGCTCTTACCTCAAAATCTGATTTGATTTTTTAACGCTACAACAAACCCAGAAAATATATACTTCGAAATACATAGTTTTTAGCTTCATCAAGTTGTGATAGTATATTTTAATTGATAACTTGAGTTGTTAAATCATACTTAATATTGAAAAGTCTAATTGAAATTCAGTCCACAATTAAGTCATTTTGAAGCCCCCAATTTTTTTCATAGTTTGTGTTTAAAATTTGAATGCTTCAACAGCAAGAGAGAGAGATAGATATTGGAAATATGTATACTTGAAGAAAATATTATAGTAATTTAAAATCACACAAGAACACACCAAGTAATTTTTCTCTAAGGTTTAATTTCAAATCATGAATTTAAATGATGAACAAAATGCCAGTCCAAGTCTTTTCTTACTTGTAATGCACAAACTATTTTATTCAACTTGCAGGTGAAATATATATATTTTTTTCACCATGGTAATATTTTCACCCTTATTTATAGTCTTTTTTTTTTGAATTCTTTCTCTTCAATAGTTTAACAAGTCATTTCTGGTTTGGCTAAAGAGCAATCCTAGCACAATAATGTTTCAACTTGCAAGGAAGAACACCCTTATTGAGTTGATAGAACTCCACCAGCTGAATTAGGTCCGTAAATCTGGTGTGGCCATCATCCAGTGTGTGAAACATTTCACCATCATCTTCAACCTGTAGGATAAAAAGTAGCAAACTGGTAAAGGAGGCATATTACCCAATAGGACAAACATACCCCATTGAAAACTCCAAGCTCATATGCCAAAACTGACATCAGGTTACAAAAGTAAAGGACAGCGGGAACCAGCAGATGGTGTAAAGATTGTATCACTGGAGGGACCAGCAGTTAGTGTAATGGCTATGTCGCTGGACTCCCACGTAGTCGACCGCGGTTCGTGTCCCAGACCCGGTGGCTTAAAACTCACGCCGGGTGAATGTGTGTGCGTGCCCAGGGTCCCGGGAGGAGACTGGAGGAGAAAGGATTGTGGCGTGACCATCCCCCCTGTGTTATGATTTCTCACTTTCTGTCTCTCTGCCTCTCTCTGTCTGTCTGGCGAGCGCACACGCCCTATAGCAAAAACCTCTTCAAAAAAAAAAAGATTGTATCACTGGAATTCCACGTAGTCGACCACGAAGTCCTGGATCAAGGGGCTTAAAACTCATGCCAGGCTATGCGTGTGAATGCCCAAAATCCCAAGAGGAGAATGGAGGAGAAGGAATTGCAGCGTGCCATCCCCGCTGGGGAGGGTTGGGGGGTTGATTTCTCGCTTTTTGTCCCTGTCTCTTTGGTGAGCGCACGGGCCTTATTGCAAAAATCTCTCTTAAAAAAAATAAATAAATAAGTAAAGGAGAGTGAAAAGAACATTATAATTAGTCCAATTCTTTTTTGTAACATCATTTGGGTTTTTGTTTGTTTGTTTGTTTTTAGTCTGGTTTTTTTTTTTTTTTTGCTTGTTTGTTTCTAGTGTTTTCCCATAGGGCACATGTGCTTGCCAGAGAGAGAGAGAGAGGAAAAGTGAGAAATCATACCCCCTCCAGGAGGTAGGGATGCCCATGCCAAAATCCCTTCTCCTCCTTCTCCTCTCGGGATTTCAGGAACGCGCACACACACGCACCTATTGTGATCATTCGACCCGCCAGGTGCAGGGCTTGAAGCACAATCAGTCGCCACGTGGAAGTCCAGCATCTTAGCCACTATACCACCTGCTAGCCTAACATCAGGTGTATTTAAAAGAAATACCATCTGATCCTTGTAGCCAGCAATGTGGCTCTAATTTCTCCGAATTTTCCTGACATTCTGTTATTTAGGATAGTATAACTATTTGAATTACTGGACAGTGAAAAATCTGAAATATCTGGTATAAAAATAAATAGAAAACATGAATGCTCCCAGGCTAAAGGTTGTCTACTTAAGTCTTAGCATATAAAAAATGAATATTCACTAATTTGTATCAGTAAATTGATTCTGAAACAGTAAAATATTATGCTAATAGTATTTGAGCTGGGTTTTTTTGGTTGTGTTGTTTGGCAATGAAATCTTCTGGCATTAAACAGTTCATACTTGCTGAGAACATATGCCACAGAATCAAAAAAGAGGGAGGACACATTATATGGTGTTGGAATTATTCCCAAAATAGGCAATTCAAAATAACAATCTTATGTTATACCTTCCTAAAAATAGACTGAACCTCTATTCCACATGACCTGGTTCCAAAATATCCATCACATACCTGCATGCACACAGAGACACACAGTTGCAGAAGAGCAGAAAGCCCAAAGCAAGTTGTGTCACACAGAAACAAAATCACAGACATTTTTTAAACGTGCTCAGAATAGTTTAATGTTCATCAGTTCCACACCACCTGTGTTTCCATCCATAATCATTAAAAACAAAACAGTAGAAAAACAAAAATCATTTTTGAGGGATGAGAGGGGTTTTGAAATCATGTTTCTAAAAGAACCATTAGTAGAATTCAGAAGAAGGAATCTTTAGTGGCCTTTAACAGTAGGTGGCATGGGGTCTATGCAATATTGCTAAATCATATTTCATGGAAAAGAAGAAATTTAATTTTTGCAATTCCTGTATTTCTTATATTAATTCAGGGTCATAAAATCATTTCTGCCAAACTTAGCTCTAGTCAGAGCACAAGCTCTCAAATTATATTTAATACAGGGACAATAAAAAAACAACAAAGTTTTCAAAAGCGTATTCATTAAGATCATGTCTAATATACAAATGTGAAATCACAAATTACTTACTGGTATAATTTGAAAGTGCTTTATTTTTTGTCCATGACTCATTGACAGTACGAAAGTTTTGGGGTTACTCTGACTATCCCGTACCAAGAAAACTCTAAAGAGAGAGAAGGAATTTCAATGTTTCTACATTTACTCATGGATTTCATAGAATTATACAAATCAAGTAAGTGTATGCATAAATGTTGCAGCCAGCCACTCCTATAAAGTATAGTCAATGGGTGAGATTAACCAACTCGGTGAACAGTATGGTGTAACCTAATTTTACACTGTACAACTGTTACCGGTGCTAATGCAAGTTTAACAGGATAAACAGACAGCCCATTTGTCAGACTGTTTGCTCACAATAACCAATATAATGTTACACTGGCATCAATAATTAGTGCTATGTTCCTTTTCCGCTGGGAAATTGGGTAGTCACATGAAACTCTTTTGCACAAAGGAATGAGGCATTAGCATACTGTTATTTTAACTGGTGGGTCATGTTAGGCCCTGAAAAGAGATATTTATTTAGAGTGAAATCATTTTTTTACCCCCTCTTCTACACTGACTCCCCTTTCTTCTTTTAATTCTAGTTTCTACTGTTACATACATAAAAGAAAACAAGAAATAAACATGTTCTTTAAATAAAAAGAACTTTGAAATCATTGATTAAATGTTTAAGCAAAATGTTTTAAGCGAAAAGAAACACTCAAACAACGTGAACTTAAACCTTAAAGAATGCAGTGGAAAAGCCTCTATAATGTCAAGCTAGAAAAAAACGAGACTGTGGCCCAATGGCCTAAGAGAAAAAATGCAGCCAGGCATGGATTCTTATTTACTGGCAATGCAGAGCAAAACAAGTTTTATATTAATTGTTGGCAAACATTCTGTATAAACGGTCCCCACTAGTGACTCCAATACTAATCTCACTGTGCCTGGGCAAAGAGGCAGCCAAACCGGAGACATCACAGATGTCTGATGAGATTATCCATTTCATTTACTCTGTGTGAGATTCTGACATTACATCACTGAGAAATGGGACAAAAGGGTGTTTCACTGGTAAATCAAGCTGTTAAGTCTCTTCCCATTCCAAAGTAGATCACTACTACCACCTAGTGGGCCATGTGGCATTATCACATCTTTCCAAAGGAATATTAAAAAAAAAAAAAAGCTTAAAAATAAAGATACTGTTATTCTTTATACAATAATTTCATTCCATTTACATGTGCTGGCCTCAAAAATGAAGAAAATTATAACCCTCCAAAACATTTTAATAGTTCCTCATGATTTACTTTTCTTGTTCTTACCAGATTGTAATTCTGATTGCTCAAATTTATATCCCCAAAGACTGCATCCCATGAAAAGAAGCATATTAAAATTTTCTCTTATTTAGAGTCTGGTGAAATCCTGACTCACTATTAATAACAGTCTATGTGAGAATTCGTTTTTATCCAAATGTCAGTATTAAATCTCCTTGAAACATTGTCATCATCTTAAGCTAACCTTTGAAGATAAAAGATCCCATCACTACTTATTTAAATTGATACTAGTTTCATTTCTCATCCAAACCTCATACAACCTCCCTCATCTGAATTGCACTTAGGAAGATAATTTAGCCAGTAATATATAAAGCATCTGAAACACTCAGTAATTTGAGAAAAAGAAAATTCTTCAGATTATAAACCTTTATGTTATATTTCTTGTGTACACTGCATGGTAACCTGTAAATACTCTTTTAATAGGCTTATTTCATTGAAGCTGTTAAAATTTAGAAAAAGCCAATAAGGATGTAAACAGAACAAAAGCATTCGATATATATGAAGTAGCTTTTTACTTAATATACAGTGCATGATACCTAAAAAAATAAAGAAGACGATAATATGATATAAATCACACTTTGGAATCCTATGAATAATATATGTTCAAACATATATTGATGTTGACACCAAAGAAATTTGAACTTTCCCCCATCAATTAATACCTGAGATGCTAGAAAGGACAAAGATGAGCATTATTAGTGACCACTGGTTAAAAATAAAGCATCCTATTCTGTTATCTGTTCATTTATACACAAATACTAGGCATACATTAAGTATCAAGTATCACATAGATATTGCTAGACTAAAGTGGCAATCACCCCTTTCTATGTAAAAAGTCACTTCTGTCTAAGGAGAAGCCAACATCAAAAACTCCGTGCGCATTGAATAAATAATTATTAAATATAGGCAAAATCCCAGTCACAACCACTCACTCAACATCTAAAACATCAGACTTACCCATCCACAAGTCCTTGCTGAATAATCAATCGCTGAGCTTCATCTCTAGAAATTTTGTGGTGAAACCATGGTTGGGACCGATGGATGGCTGAAGAAATAAAGTGGATGAGCACAAAGCTTTGCTGGAAATGATCACAATTTAATTACACTTCCCACCCTTCCACTTAGTGATGCCATCTCCAGGCACCACTACCCTGCCTGGTCAGTCCATTATGAATGAGAGCAGACATACCCATGTTTGAGGCAGAGCTCTGAGAAGAGGCAGTGGGACTACCATGAGTACCCAGGCGTAAACATCCTTTTTTCTGAGCAAAGAAGGAGGAAACAAATCTCAACTTTTTAGGAGAAACAAATTCACATCACAAATACTTTGAAGAAAGCGAAGCGAATTACCCTCCAAGCAAGTCCTTCTTCAACTGCAACTGAAAGGGCTTCAGTGGGATTTTCTATAACTCTGCTTTTCTGGCCTGAGAAGTCCATTGCTACCAGGGAATTCTCTGATATACTTCTCTGCAAAACAAAACAAAACAAAAAGCAGAAACACATTTGAACCAAGAAAATATCCTTGAAATTTATCTGCTAGTGCTTTGTTGGCAATGCGCTTCTGTCCTACAGTGGGGTTCCAAAAGCAGCTACCAGAAAATGTCGAGGTTAACATATCTCCTCAGGATAAAACGGCAATATAAAATATGTTGGTTAAATAAGTTACATGGTTATTAAGATAATTGAATTAAATGCTGAATAAAGAGATTAAAAGCTATCAAAATAGTATGTCTTTCTTATAAAATAAACCCATCTTTCCATATTCTCTAGTAAAATGTATACATTCTAATTTAGAAAAAAATATCTTCCTATGGTTAAAAAAGATCCATTAATTCTGAATTCATGTCTCTTTATTAAGCTTTGAGATTCATCAATCATCAATTAAGTGTTAATCCATCTACCCATGAAGAAGCTATTTTATAAGATTTAAGATAGAAAAAAGTGATAATTTATAGACGGATGGCAAAGTATAACTTTAGAAATAGTATTCATGTTTGACAATGGAGCATATTAAAATATATGTTTTTAATCATGTCAACCTTCATCTTACTAAAAAAATAAAATTTAGTGAAATAATAATTTGGGTAATTTCATAATATTAAAATATCTATGATTTAATATGGAAACACTTTCATCTTTGAGGACACACATGGCCACATGAGACCTGCAACAATAAGCAAAAGAACTAATACAAAAAGCAGACATCTTTAAACAAATATAAAGTAAACAAGTAATAAAGTCATCATTTTTGCTATTTATTTCTTTGATTCTCTAAAGTGAAAGTAAAATATCCAAAACTTGGGTCTCGTTTTTATCATTTTCGTTTGGGACTCCATAAAATATGCCAGCCTACAAGTCATGAATTTTAGAACAAAAGACAACTGTCAGGTGGCATGATGGTTAAGGTGCTGGACTACCACATGGGTGACCACAGTTCAAGTCTCAGACCCAGCAGCTTGAAAATCATGCTGTGTGTGTATGTATGTCCAAAATCCCAGGAACAGAATGGAGGAGAAAGGATTGTGGCATGGCCATCCCCCCTGGAAGGTGATTTCTCACTTTCCCTCTCACTGTCTCTCGTCTCTCCTGTGAGCATACTCACCCTATAGCCAAAATCAAAAAAAAAAAAAAAAGTCTCATTCAGTTTATGTAGTACATAGAGGAATTAAAATTCCTCAAAATGAAAAAAAAAATAAAAAAGCATGTAAAATATGTATTAGTTATTTTCTACAAATGAATAGAACAAAATTAGATGTAGAGCTATAAGGGTAAAGTCTGAGCCAATTTGCATTTGAGGATATGGTTTAAACCCATTTTATATTCAGTCATATCCAGCTTGGTCAAACAGACCACATAGTCAAATGTGGCCTTCAAACAAAATCTTAAACACACACACACACAATTAGGGCTCCTTTATCGTTGCATCACACATTGCACTTTACTAGTATTTGTTATTTTCTCTTCAAACTATGCAGTAGTGACCCACAACTTATTATGATTCATCTATATTTCTAGAGATCCAGCATTCAATCTTTCATTTGTTACAAGACCCTTTATAACTGACAGCTGCTCTTTCCAGACAGATGCTGTCTCTGTAATCTCTATTTGCTGTCACACCTTAGTTTGCCCTTCGACCCCGTGATCTTCTGTGCCGGGCTGTGGACCAGTTGAATATACTTGTGCTTTGCAGACATAAATGAAATGCGTCCACCTGCCCAGACCACAGAGTAACTAGCCTCACTCATGATGATAGCTTTATCCTTAAAATATCTCTACCCTCACATGCCAAGATGAGTTCTGTAATCTCAGGTTCCCGATAAAATAAAAATACTATTAGGGGACAAAAGCAAACATAACTGGTTGTTCTTTTTTATTATTTTCCCTTATTATTATTTTCCCTTCAGTATAGCAAGCCAGAATGTAAAACAAGATTCCATGCTCCATAATCCCTTGACATAGGTAGGGAAACTGCAATATAAACAAGGAAGTTTTTCATTTGCTACATTAGCTATACTAAGGGAAAACACAAAAATATAGTGAATGTTTTCTACTAAATGGCAGCTGATAGATGAAAAATTAATAGTTTACCTCTGGTGGACAAAGAAATGGAAGTAAGGCAGAATCTGACTTAAACTCAAAAGGTCATTTTCCAGCTCAATTTCTTTTACCCAGGAAAACAATGTTGATAACATTCAGACTTGGTTGTATTCCTCAAATAGTTGTCCCTTTTTCTAGCTCTTTCTTCTTAAGAGAAGAACAAGGCAGGCCCTAAAAGAAGGGTCCATGATTTTTTTTTTCTTTTTCTTTCTTTTTTTTTGGAGAGGTTTTTTCACTATAGGGCGCATGCACCCGCCAGACAGACAGAGAGAGACATAGAGACAGAAAGCGAGAAATCACCCCCCCTCAGGGGGGATGGCCACACCGCAATCCCTTCTCTTCCATTCTCCTCTCGGGATCTTGGGCACGCGCGCACACGCACCCGGCGTGAGTTTTAAGCCCCCGGGTCCGAGACGCGAACCGCGGTCGACTACGTGGGAGTCCAGCGACATAGCCATTACACTAAATGCTGGTTCCCAAGGGTCCATAATTTTAATGGCTAAACCCCAGATCATATGGGCCACACTCTGAGACGAGATTGACTCACTGTAAGCAAGGGCGATACATAAAGTATTTTTCAGGAAGTTGAGCTAGGTGGCAATTAGCCACACACTCTGTCATCCCATTCAAAAGATTTAGATAAACTTGTATGCCAGTCACTAGCAAGACAGCACAGAATTTCCTCACATTGTTCTTTCTTCTCTTTCACGCAGACACATAGGACATCTAGGTGTAAAGGATTTTAGAGATTATACAGCCATCCCCATATGGCACACTGCAGGACACCGATGACTTGGCCACAAAAGGTCACAAAAATCTCTTCTGGTAAAAGCAGTAACTTATATGTCCTTTCTAGGGTTCACTTATCTACCTCATAATGGGAGGTACAGGGATCACCTATAGTTTAGAATGTTTAGTCTAGGGAGAGAAGTGAAAAGAACTTGAGCATATTTTTTAACCATCCCCACCCATGCTATCACTCCAGCCAGGGCTGTACTAACAAATGTACCTATAGATTAATCCTTTGTTTGACCATAGAGAAACAAAGAATATATTTGGTATCTGAAATGTCTGTTGATTCTCATTTCAAAGGCTGGTGGATGGTTGTAATGTGCTATATATAGCTATGATATTCATTATGATATGAAAACTCCTCTTCTTGTTTTCCTTCTCAAAATATATTCCTGGAGAAGTTAAGAAGAGGATGCAGGGGTCAGCAGGCGGCATGGTGGTTAAGGCACTGGACTCCAACATGGCCAACCACAGCTTGAGTCCTGGACCTGGTGGTTTGCTTTCTCACTTCCCCACTTCTCTCTCTTTCTTGGGCACACATGTCATATAGCAAATTTAAAAATAATACTAATAAATAAAATCAAATAAATATTTTTTCTTTAGAGAATTTTTGCTGTAGGGCACATGTGTGCGCATGCCAGAGACAGAGAGAGAGAAAACACCTCCTAGGGGGCTGGCCAGGCTGCAATCTCTTCTCCCCCAAGGTCCTCTCAGAATTTTGGGCACGCATGCACATACACCAGGCATGAGTTTCAGGCCACAGTGTCTGGGACTCAACCTGTATTTGCGCATGTGAGAGACTAGCAATGTAACCATTATGCCAACTGCTGGTCCTAGTAAATAATTATTTAAAAAACAGAAGAGGATGCTGCTCCTTTAAAAATATAACTGAAGTATACTAACTTTTTTTCTTTGTGACCTCCCCTCGCCCCCGGAAATATTCCCGGGATGAAAAGCAGCAGAGGCAGGTGAGGGGCACTGGTATTTCTAAGGTCAAAGATTACATAAAAATCTAGAAAAGTGGGCTTCTGTATAGATACCAAAGCAAACACAAATATCTTGAAAACCTCTCTGTCTTTCGTGGAAAATAAGAAGAGTGGAGATGCGCTGCCACTCAGATGCTACCCTCTCTCTTTATAACAAGTACAGCCCTTTATCCCACAGGAACCGGATCCTCTTTCCCCACAACCCCTATTTCCAGTCATACTAATTTAAAGAGTGTCTCTTGAACAAGTAAAGCCACACTAACCAAGCTGTCATACATATCTTGGTCAATAGTAGGATCACTTTCAGAATGAAAAGGCAAGAATAATACCATACTTGTAGGGAACCAGCAGTTAGCGTAATGGCTATGTCGCTGGACTCCCACGTAGTCGACTGTGGTTCGCGTCCCGGACCCGGTGGCTTAAAACTCACGCTGGGTGCATGCTCGCCCAAGATCCCAAGAAAAGAAGGGATTGTGGCGTGGCCATCCTCCCTGGGGGGTGATTTCTCGCTTTCTATCTCTCTGTCTCTGTCTGACGAGCGCACACGCCCTATAGCAAAAACCTCTCAAAAAAAAAAAAAAAAGAAGAATATCATACTTGTATACTAATGATAGTGATAAAAATAGAAAGTACTTTGTAATACATTTCCCCTGTGATTAAGAGGATACTAAACAATAATTGCCTCCAAATGCTTGCTGCTATTAACACGTTCATCTTAGGAACTTCAAACTCGAAAAGAAATTTGGAGGGATTTAGGAAAGGATTAAGATAATAAAATCCATTATTCTTTTTATATACATATGAATGGAAAGATAAGGGTAAGCTGACAATTGTAAAAATATTCACCTTAAAGTGACTGCTTTTATAACAATTTATTAAGTTTCTTAGTTTCTTATTTTAGGGCTTAAAAATAACATGATTCAAAGATGAAAGCTATTCTTCATAATTTAAAGCAATGTAACTACAAAATTGAAGTTCTTTTTCTATATAGTCTATCAGCCTTCATAATCAACATTATTTCATGCCTCATTCCTAGCATGGAGTATTTCATCGACTATATTACACATGGGGTAAATGTACCTTCCTTGGTCACAACCATGAAGAATATATGTTTAACCTAAGTGCAAATGCAGGTTTCAAAAATGTGCATTACCTGATTTGTAACACAAGCACATACATCTGAATTTCTAATAAATGCAATATTAAGGAGCACAGCAAAAAATAGCAGAACACAAACTTTAAGTTCATAAAGAAATTTCTTGTGTTAATGCACAGGAAATTAAAATTAGGACCTAAAAAGGGGAAGAAATGTGTCTGTGTGGATCTGCAAATAAATATGCAAGTTACATTTAGTACAAATCTGAGAAGCACTGTTAGAGTTAATGTAATGCACGACCTATATTTTGGCTTGCAGTTTTTAGGTTTCCTGGAAAGCAGCCTGCTTTTTAAGGATCTGAAACTTAAAAAATATATTGTTAGAAAGCCAGAATGCAAAAGAGCTTATATATATGTACACTGTTTTTAAAATGCCAAATCACTGGCATCTTCATACCAGGCTCTGACATCCAAATCAGAATTAAAATAAACAAACCTACAAACCAAACCAGTAATTAAGAAAACATAGTCTACAATGCCAAGGAAAATGTTGTATAAATTATCTTATTAAGAGCTTATCCCTAAATATTATGATGACAGAGAATGATTCATAACTCTTTCCAACACTTAAAAATCTTAAACATATAACATTATATATTTTAGCTGAATGCCTCATAAATACTATTGTGATATTTTTCTAAATACTGCAAAAATAGAAAATCCAAGAATAAAAAGCTCGGTATTATATTATACTATAATGGTACCAAAAATTTCTTTACTTGAGTAAGATAAAGTAATGTGAATAAACCATAATTATAAATTAACATACTGTAAATATAAAATGAAATATAGGATAAAAAGTTTGACCCTTACCATGGGTGACATACTCTGGGAACTGCAGCCACTTCTACCTTGGTATGGATGCATGTAATTCTGGTACAGCTGCATGCCATACTGCAGAATAAACAAATGAAAGCACATTCTTACCACTCTGAATAATCATTCAAGTAATTTATGAAAACCAACATTTTCATTAAATATACATTATCAATTTTAAAAAGTATTATAATATTTCCTTGAAACAATCAACTAAAGCAACCAAAATTTTGAAAGATAGACTTTAGTAACTTGCAATAAAATACATTTTAAAAGATAATGTTCTGAGACCAACAGGTTGTACAGCAGTTAAGGGGCCAGACTCCCACATAGCTGAATGTAGCTTGAGTCCCAGGCATAAGTGTGTGCATGTGTGCCCCAAACCCCAAGAGGAGAATGGAGGAGAAGGGACTGTGGTATGGCCACCACTCCCTGGGGTGTGTGTGTGATTTCTCTTTTTCTGTCTCTCTCTATCTCTCTCTTTGGTAAGCGCACGCACCCTATAGCAAAAATCTCTCTCTCAAAAAAAAAATATCATGTTCTTTTACTTGGATCCACTATTTAAAGTCTAACTCACCAGTATAGAGCTATGGAAGTGACATTTCTACTCATTCTTCTTACCACTAAATTGTACCACAGCCATTTGGAGAGGAACACTGCCTAGTGATAAGGCTTACTTGGGAAGGATGCCATTCTTTACATTACAAAGATTCCAAGAATCTCACAAACATCCTAAGCACATTGTAAAATTCACTGTAGTTTTCCGATGATTATTTGAATTACTTTGTCTCTGGTAAATCCAGAAACTTGGCCAAATGCTAAAAATTCTTGGCGCTCTATCATCCTCATAGCAATACTCTGTGGCATTCATTTTTTTGCTTCAAATTCAGGGAAATCAGAGCAGTAGGGAATCGAGCTGATCTCAAACAAAGGATTTCAAATATAATGTAATGTAATAGTCCTTATCTCTATCTACATATAAGAACTGCAGGGTCTTTGCTTTCAGAAGGCAGCCTCATGTGGACTGGGCTGGCAGCCCATAATTTTGGGGAAGTAGGTCTGGATTATAATTGAATTGAATTAGCTTGAGAAACATTAAGAATGTCAACTGCCATGACCAAACTAATCCTGGAGGTATTCCCATTGGAAACTGGAAACCATGGTCCACTTAAGCCACTTACTTAAAAAAAAAAAAAAAAGCAAGGGGATAAATGACTATTTTTTTTTTGGGGGGGGGGCTACAGTCTACAATTCTCTTTATTTCATGGAGCCATAATGAACTTAAAAGTTAGGTCTATATAAAACAGACAGAATAGAAACCATGGAATCAAATGTTACCCATAGGATGAATGCTATTTAAACATTCCAACAGAGATGTGTCTCCACTTAAGACTAGTTTCTTAAAAGCAATTCCAGCAAAGTGGATATACTTGGTAATTAGGCAAAAATAATCAGGGTGAGGGGGTAGGAAAGTCACTGTTTTTAAGATTTTGCTTTTAATATGAACATAAACCCATACTCATTTAAAATTCTCTGTGTTGACTCCTTTATCCAATTATTTTCCAACTTTGAAAAATTATTTTCTAATTTAAGGTTTGATTGACATTAATGGGACCTAACGAAATATATTTTAAATCAACTCTAAGCCTACAATAACTTTAAAAAGAAGAGAGGGGAGCTTAATTCCCAGTCACATTCTGGAGAATATATAATAACCTCAAACTCACACTTTCACAAGGAGCATGCTGCTTGGCCACCTTTTATTTATCTGCATTGAAAAGCCTGCTACCTACTAATAGGACTGTTTTCTTCAAAGATGTATTGTCCCCGGTACCTGCAATGTTAGGTAGTTGCCTCTGTGCAGTTGGAGGTCTTTAATAGGCATTTAACTCTAGCCAAGTGGTAGGGCATGGGTCACCTTAACATTCCCCTGTCCTATGGAGGGGCAGATAAGGGACCAAAATATGTTAGAGAGAAGCCGGCAGAGTTCTAATTGAAAGACATGTAACCAGGACACTATACATAGCAAATCTCCCATTTTTATTTCTCAGAATTTCTATAATTCTCTACTTAGCCAGTATTTCTCCAAAGAGAAAAGCAGTGTCTCCATCTGCTCTATGTGAAGAATTTGTACATGTATATGAAAAAAAAGAAAAGGAAAGAAGAATAAAACAAGAGGCAAAAAAAATTCTTGGTAGGAGGCTACTTCTAATAATTACTATGTAATGAAAATAGGAGGGTACTTCTGGTCCAGCCAACAATATAATCTATTTCCTTGCTCCTTTTTACTAAGTATAATGATGAATTCTGGAAAGAACAAAATAGGCAGCCAAAAGAATCAAGGGTAGGAGGTATGAGAGATATTTCTAATTCTAGGTGAGCTCATTTTCAGTAGCTGGGGGTTAGGGGGGTGGTCAAGCAGGAGTCCCACCGACAATAAGTTGACAGAGGAAAGCAACTCACCCCTCTGTTGGATCCTCAATTGCATCTGGACTGTGAGACCTGGGGCAAGACCTGGCTTCCTGTGATCCAGATATTTTTAAAGTCTAAGACAGATCATATCAATTTCTTGCTTGAAACCCTTTTGTAGTCTTCTTTGGCACGGGGATAATGGTCCCTACTGATGCTCTCTCTGTCTCTAGCCTCATCTGGAAAAGCTCTGTCATACTGAAATGAACAGGGAAAATGGGTGTGGTAGACAGAAGCTGCTCACTTCCTAATCCCTGAAATCTGTAAATATGTTAAGCTACATGACAAAGGAAATTAAGGTTACTAATCAGTGAGATGGGTTGATTATTCTGGATTATCCAGGTGAGTCCAGTATAATCATAAGAGATTTCTTTAAGTGGAAGGAGGAAACAGACCAGGGAGATGGAACACGCAAAGGACCTGACCCAGCACTGCTGGCTCTGAAGGTGGAGACGTGGTTCTAAGACCAGGAGGCTGGGCAACCTCCAAAGGCTGGGATGTGCAGTGGTGATGAATTCTACCCCAGAGCCTCCAGAAGGGATGCAGCCCAGCTGACACCTTGGTCTTAACACAATGAGACTCATTTCAGATTTCTGAACTAAAGAAGAATAGAACAACAAATCTGTACTGTTTTTAACCACTACATTGGTGATCATTTATTATAGAAACTATAGAAAACTAACACCATGAAGCATCTTTGAACTAGGATTCTGACTTGTAAAAGTCTTTGAGAAGATTCAGATAAGAAGAAACAAAAAAGAGTAAGAAGAGGACAGTCTTCCAGGAAACAAGTATTAAAGGAAGCTTTTAGTACATTCATCAATTTTTAGACACATATTTCAAAGTTTAACGTTTATAAATTCAACTGCATCCTGTAATCTATAACATCATATATTCACTGTGGACCAAGGACTTGTCATTTCTGACATTTTTGGCGGGATCAAGAAATCGCCAGCATCAAAGACAACTCCATAGCCTGTGGGAGAGCACTTATTTGTGAAGTTCTGCCTCCCCAAAGCCAGATATCTGTACAAAATACTTGTATCCATGACTCTGCAATGAAACTGATTCATAAAGCTCGACATAGAATGTGAACATGTTTTAAAGATACCTAAATTAATTTATTTCACTTATATCTTTTCTTTTATATACATGTATGTATGTGGAAAGGGCTTTTGAGTAATTCATGAGAAGTATGTATTATGACAAAGCTATGCATGCGTCTCAATTTTCCGCAAAAAAAAAAAAAAAAAAAAAAAAAAAAAAAAAAAAAAAAATAACTTTTTTTTGGAGAGGTTTTTGCTGTAGAGCATGTGTGCTCACCAGAAAGACAGAAAGAGACAGAGAGACAGAAGGCAAGAAATAACTCCTCAGGGGGGATGGCCATGCCACAATTCCTTCTCCTCCATTCTCTTCTCGGGATCTTGGGCACGCACGCACACATGCCCAGTGTGAGTTTAAGCCACCAGGCCCGGGATTCTAACCTCGGTTGACTACATGGAAGTTCAGCAACATAGTCATTACACCATCTACTGGTCCCTAAACTTGTACTTTAATCCCATTTTTCCACAAGCTTTTTGGAGTCCCCTTATATAAACTTACATATGGGGGTCAACAGGTGGTAAGATGGTTAAGGTGCTAGATTCCCACATGTCCAACCATGGTTCAAGCTCCAGACCCAGCGGATGGAGAATAATACCTGGCGCATGTGTGTACATACCCAAAATCCAAAGAGGAGAATAGAGGAGAAGGGATTGTGGCATAGCCATCACCAATGAAGGGTAATTTCTCTTTTCTTCTCTCTTTCTCTCAGTCTGTCTCCTGCAAGCACACTTACCCTACAGCAAAAACCTTAAAAAAAGAAAAATGCCTATATATGTATATTTTTGTGTACTGTACTTGTGTATGTGAATACATGGAAAGTGATAAATGACAAGAATCTAGGTCTAAATAAATCTATATTCATTATTTAAATAAAGAATTATTTATTTCATTTTATTTATTCATTTATTTATTTTAATTTGACCAAAGAGAGAGAGAGAGAGAGAGAAAGTGAGAAAGCAAATCACCAGGTCCGGGACTCAAACCATGGTCAGTCATGTGGGAGTGTCTAGCGCCTTAACCACCATAACACCCGCTAGGCTCTATGTGAAAGCTTTATATCATAGTTTATCGGCATCATCTTTTTTTTTTTTTTATTGCTACAAAAATAGTAATAATAATTGTGTATCCTAGTAAAATCAGTGGCTTATTAATTAGAGAAATTGGGCTTACCAACTGCTTCTGTTTTGGGTGTCTAGCTTTGAAGCCATGTTAGAAGGGAAGATTTGTCTAGCAACATGGGGGAGCATCTCCTCTACTAGCTAAGCCTGATTTCCAAAGGAAACCAGATACCTCAGTTCTCTAGTACAGGGGTCCCCAACTCCTGGGCCAGTCTGTGGCCTGTTGAAAGTGGGGCAGAGAACTGGGGCTGGTCCATGGGCCACACAGAAGTGGGTGCATGGTGGGCAGGCAAGCAAGGTTTCATCTGTGTCTGAAGCCACTCCACAGCATTCCCGTTGCCACCTGGCTCCGCCTCCTGTTGGATTCGCTGCAGTATCGGTTTCTCACGGAAGCATGAACCTAATTGTTGTATGAATGTTTTATTTTATATTGCAGTGTGGTAGTAGTGGAAATGGGGTATATAATGGATGCAATACCCTTGGGTCATCCCAGGATCATCCTCCATCTCCCGCCATGGAGGGACTGTCTTCCACGAGGCCAGTCCCTGTGGCTGGGAAGGTTGGGGGCCGGCCGCTGCTCTAACAAAACTGTTTTGCAGCATTCCCAAGAGTGCTAGCCTCCTTTCCTATAAAAGGAGAAGGCTGGGCAAGGTCAGTAGTTCCTAATCAGGCAGACAAATGGAACTCACTAATGAAGATCCCAAAGATGGGGTGGGGGCAAATGTAACTTCAGAAAGTTCCTCAGGTGATTCCATTCCATATCCCTAATCACCTATGACCACACTCTCAAGGAATAGTTTCTAAATATGCTCTGAAGGTCTTCTTTCTTTTTGTTTTAAATGTTATGAAAAGGAGCACAGCACTGAAGTGCCTATTTATCATGAATGTCTTGAGGAATCACAACTTCTATGCTTTGTTAAAAACAAAATCATGACAGTCATTTTAAGACTGGAATATCTGAGAAACAAGCAAAACTCTTTTTCTTTCTTTCTTCCTTCCTTTTTTACAATTTTGCTAGAGGGTGTGTGTGCTTGCTAGAGGGTGACAGAGAACAAACAAGAGAGGAGAAACAAGACAGCATTCCCCCCATGGTGGATGGTCCTGTAGCACTCCCTCTCCGCCATTTCTCCTCCTTTGGGAATTTTGGCACATGCACATGCACCCAGAGTGTTTTTCAAGCTACCCAAGTGCGGGACCTGAGCCGTGCTTTCAGTCCTGTGGGATCTAGCTGCCTTTTATTTTTATTTTTATTATTATTCATACATGAAATAGCTATACATCACTTAGATTATGAAGAGACTTTGCCCAGCATGATATACACCTCAGCCCAGCCTAGTTGAGACTATTAATCAGCCAGCCACAGGCTGGCCTCGAGCAAACCTCTTATAAAATAACCACAGCAGCCATAGCAGCAAAAGGAGAAACTTTCATAGTTAAACCAAAAGCTTCACTTAAACTATTCAAAAACTTATTCTTCCAGAACCTTTCATATCCACTAGGATGACTATCGTTAAAAACAAAACAAAACAGAAAAATGAGCATTGGCAAAGATAAAGAGAAACTGGAACTCTCATTTATTTCTGGTGGCCTAGCTATCAAGAAAAATATTTATGCAATTCCTCAAAAAGCTAAACAAAGAATTGTAATATGACCAGAAATTCTGTTAAATATACAACCAAAAAATGAAAACTGGTACCCAAACGAGCACAAGTATGCACATGTTCACAGCAGTACTACTCACAAAAGGAAGAGGGCCGCGATACAACCTGAAACCCCATCAATGGATAAATGAGGAAACAAATTGCTAAACCAGCATACATACCTCTACTACAGAGTGTTGTACAGCTATGAAGAGAAACGAAGTGTTGATATATGCTAACTAAAAGTCACATATAAACGGTCACATATTACATGACCACATTTGTCCAGAACAGATAAATCCATAGAGGCAGAATACAGACTGGCAGTTGTCAGGGCCTGAGAATAACTGCTTAATGAGCAGCATTTCCTTTTAGGTGATAAAAATATTTTAGATCTAGGTGGAGGTGGTGGTTTTGCACAATTGTGAATGCCCTAAACGCCACTGAGCTCTTCACACTAAAAACTGTTTTAATTTTACATTATCTCATTAAAAAAAATTATCTTACTTTTAAAAACTAATAGAACAAGCATGGTACTGAAGGCGCTGGACTCACACATGGTTAACCATAGTTCGAGTCTCAGATCTGGTGGTTTGCTTTCTCACTTTCTCTCTCTCTTCCTCTGTCTCTCTCTCTCTCTGATGAGCACACATGCCCTATATCAAATTAAAAATAATAATAGCAATGATAATACATAAATAAATTTTAAAAAGAAAAAAATTAATAGGAAAAAAATAAGCTTTCTTAGAAAACTGGCATGACAAGTAATAATTCTGATTATGATGATTTTGCTCTTTTTTTACACTGATGTGTTTCCTAAATGGGACACTACTAAAAAGCATCTATATAAAAAAATTAATTAAAAAAAGCATCTATTAACTTATAGGATAAACTTAATATCAGCAAAGGCAGAAGAAAAATACAGATCTAGAAAATACACAAACTACCAGTCAATTTAATCTACTGGATTCCTTTCTTTATAATTGAAATAGAGGAACCAAAGACTTCCCAAGATCCCATCTGTTCTGATTTTCAATTCTGAATATATTAAAAAGCTGATTTTAGTCCATAAACAAGTCTTCCTGTGATAATAAATGGGTTATATATGTAATGTGTATGTAATTCCTAAATTATGGTGTACCCAGACATGAATAATAAAGAATACCTTGGGGAAATGTAAAACTTCTATTTTAAGCTAAACATTTAATAACAATGGAATATTCTGTATTTTGTTGATTTCAGCAGAGATGAGACTGACTAACGTGAACAATTATTTTTGGTAATTTTTTTCCCTAATTGTGTCTACAAAGCCAGTACCTTCAAGGTTTGGCAATTTTTATAATTTCATATTTAAAGTTATGTTAAATTTACTAACATATGAGCTTCAAAAATAGATATGAGTTCCCTACATTCAAGAATTCAGTTCTGCATCTCTTTCCAACATGTATCTACCTTTAGAATATTCCTTTCTTTTCCAAAATACTTGCCAACAAATTATGCTTATGCAACTTGTAATATCTGCTTAGCACAAAAGAAGATATTTAAAAATATATTTGCCATAAGATGTATACAATAATTTGAGTTGTACTCATTAATTGCTTGCTAGAAAACAATTTATAAAATCCTAAAAAAAAAAAAATTAAAAAAAAAAAATTTCATTGAACATATACAGGAGGGCACATTTTAAAACATACTTCATGTTGGATTGTTGGCAATATTTTAAAATGCAGATTAAATTGTGTATAAAAGACATTTCATTCAGTGATACTACAGCTATGTATGTATACTCTTTAACAAAAGTGAAAATCAGGACATTTTTGGAAAAAGAATGCTTATTCCACACATAAGAGATGAATCTATTAGATTATTCCATCCTACTCTGGAAATATTTATCTTCTGGATTAAAAAAAATGCACACATCTGGTAGTGGGATTTTTTCTTTTTCTTTTTTTTTTCTCCTTTCTCATATTGCCATATAGATTCATTGTGAATCTTCATGTTTTGCAGTTCAGATATTTTCAAACTTGTAAGGTACTCACAGCATGTAATAGAAATTCACGCCTCCAGCGAGATTACCTTAAGCAATCTAATCGCAGTCACCCAGCACGTCCTACTCTGCTCTTCTTCTGCACAGAGCATTTTCAGGTCTCGGGGCCCTCCCGCTTTGTTAGGCTAGAAGGCCACAGCACATTGTTTATCGTTAATGCATATCTTGAAGGTAACACCTGTTGAAATAAAAGCCACTAAAATTCTCCTATATATAAGAGAAAGCTGTCTCTTTTTAAAAGAAATTAAAAGAAACTCAAGCTTACCTAAAAGGCTGAGGCTTGCTTTATTCATCTATCAAAATATTAAGCCTGTACCTTAAAGCAGAATCCATAGTTGGTTGGTGCTCCATGCTTTTTTTTGCCTGCCAGTGACACATAAACATCACTATTGCCAAATTCGCTGAAAAACTGCAAATGCCGTGGTTCCTTGAAAAGATACAGGCAAGTGTTGAAATGGACACATATTTTTGCAGTCTCTTGCTTTCTATTTGTATTAGATTATATATATGTTTTATCTTGAACAAAAATTATTCCAAACAGAATGTCAGCATAATTTCACAAAAAGAAAAGCAAAGAAAAAAATAAGTAACAATAACCTTAAATAACCAGAAACTCCATATAATTTCATTTAATTTGGGAAGTGGCAGTTCCCAAGTGTGTTGTCAGAAAAGTCATAACATACTTTTTTCATGTCGTTCTATGCAAAAAATGTGTCATGACTTTTCCTATGATCCTATATACGTATGCTTTCTATATAAACTTTGTGCTTGTGTGTATGTGTATATGTCTATCTAAAACTTCCTATTCTCTTTAACCAGCATTCCAAGGAATCTGAGAGAATGAAAATGCAGCAGAGAATGGATTTTGAAAGTGTTTCCCTTGCCTAGGTTTCAAACAATGTTAACTACACAAGCGAAGAAGGTTGGTAGGCATTTATGTAGCAGTTAGAGAAGGAAAAAGAGAAAGAGACAATGATCCCTGCTTCGTTCAGTTAGTCAGCCCTCGCGTTTGTGTTCTGCATAACACACCACAGGAGGCAATGAGAGAGGCTGCGTGACTGTCTTGCTTTACAAAAAGAACGAAGACTCTACAGATGAATTGAAGGAAGTTACCTGGCAGTGGAATGTATCTGATTTTCAAGGCAAAGTGGAATCATGAACAGCTATTTCTTCTTTGGGAAATCCATGAGATTTAAAGCTGGTCATGGGAAATCACTGGGTCATATTTTTCTGTGATAGGTTAATAACTTGGTGAAGTGCTTAATTCTGAGGTGGAATGTATAATCAAAACTGACCAAAATGCTTTTGTTCTCTAAAACCCCACTACTCTAGAGTGGCCTCAGACCAGCAGCAGCAAGATCATCTGGGAACTTGTTAGAAATGCAAAATCTTATGGCCCACCTCAGACCTACTGAATCAATATCTGCATTTTAACAAGATCCCAAGTGGTTCATATGGACTAAAATTTGAGAAGCAGTACTCTGGAAAACACACACTCTCACACACACACACACACACACACACACACACACACACCATTCAGCAACACAAGATCCTTTTGCACATCCAGAGAAATTTCATTGCCATTTACTAGAAAAATGATCCCATCTCTGATGGACAGGTAGAGCAGGCATTTTTCTGTACATCACTGCTTTTAAGCATGACTGTAGTTCCTAACTGCACTGGAGAATAAGGCAGAGAAGGAAATTGTTACAACAGGCACAGCCTAGGGCCCTTGGAGCAATGGAGGAAGAAAGAGAGACGCACTCCTATTGCCACGGCTTTTAAAACTTTATTCCTTGATTTGCTAATAAAAATGTCTGATTCCTCTGAAGATGTAATAAAACCATTCCTGTCCACTGGTACCACTACAATATAGTTTAGTCATTCAAATGCAAGTAAAAAGCACCTCGAGAAACACTGGGAGGCAGTAAGAAGCATGTGATGAGTTTCTTCTGACTGATTTTTGTTCCACTACTGCAAACATATCAAAGCTTTTGGTACAGTAAGACTAAAAGGCTGAGTTGGCACGTTTAGCAAGATCTAAGCACGCACGTGTGTGTATGAGGAGTGAAATGGAGAGGGGGCTACTTTCGGGGATTGCTCTCTAAATAGAATTCCCAGCTACGTCTCCAAAAGCTGGCAACAGTGGAGCAGTTAGCAAACTAACTCCCACACAGCTTTTACATCTTTATATCTTTAGAAAGAAAAATCAATCAAAAGCTCCTTATAGAAAAAATCCAAAATGGTCTTCTTTCCAGGTTGAAATGCCATATTAGACATTAGGTAACCTACATAATTTGAATCAAAATCATAATCATTGAAGGTATCTACTGGGTTGTTGGAAAAGTCATGACCCATTTTTGCATAGAAAAACACAGCATGACTTTCCCAAAGACTTAATATTACCCACAGTGTTTTTTAAAAGGGAACTTAACGTATATGAGGAGTTTTCAAAAAGATGATGGGAAAATGCATTATAAGGAAAAAAAACTATGCATGGATTTAAAAATTTTGCACCAAAATGTACTGGGACATTAATTCCCCCTTTCCACAAACTTTTTGAAGCCCCCTCATATTGATGGGTAGCAAAGTTAGACATCATGTTGGGGAAAACTAAGATATGATCTGATAATAGAAGTCTAATGCGGAAGGGGGAAGTCCATTGTGGAGATGAGAACATAGATCCAGTAGAAGAAATAAGGGCTGTTTTCTTATATAATGGATAAGAGTAACGAGAGGTAAAGGGTAACACAAAATGGGCATTTTTTTGTTTTGTTTTTGGAGAGGTTTTTGCTATAGGGTGCATGCGTTTGCCAAACAGACAGAGAGAGACATAGAGACAGAAAGCGAGAAATTACCCCCCAGGATGATCTTGGACACGCATGCACACGTGCCCGGCGTGAGTTTAAGCCGCCGGGTCTGGGATACGAACCACGGTCGACTACGTGGGAGTCCAGCAACATAGCCATTACGCTAACTGCTGGTCCCAAAATGGGCATTTTAATGAGAAACTTGTTGGAAAAATAAGAATTTGAGAATTAGGGAGACATTATTGTATCTTCCAATGAAAAATCATTAGGGTGATAATGAATTAAACAGAATTTACTGGATTAAGAAGACAGTTTCTGTGATATTAAAAGTAAAAAGACAGGCAGCTAGTCAGGTAGTGTAGTGGTTCAAGTGGCTGGATCCCACATGGCCAGTTGTGGGTCTCAGACCCAGTGGTTTGAAAAACATGCTGCATGGGGCCAGTAGGTGGCATAGTGGTTAAGGTGCTGACTACCACATTGCCACCTGCAGTTCAAGTCCGGGACCTAGCTTGATACTCATTCTGGGCGCATGTGTGTGTGTGGCTAAAATCCCAGGAAGAGAATAAAGAAGGGGTTGTGGCACAGTCCTTCCCCACCACCCACACCCCCCGAAAGGTAATTCTCACTTTTCCTATCACTTTCTCTCTCTCTCTCTCTCTCTCTCTCACACACACACACACACACACACACACACTACTCTGATGAGTGCACATGCCTATAGCAAAAACCTTAATAAAATAAACTACACTCAGGGTCCATGTGCATGCATGCCTACAATCCTAAGAAGGAAATGGAGAAGAGATTGAAGTGTGGTCATCCACCTTGTGGAGTGTTCTCTCACCTTCTGTCTCTTTCTCTCCCTCTCTCTGAAAAGCATACACACCCTATAGCAATTTTTAAAAAAAATAGTAATAACTAGATAAATAAAAATAAAAAGATGGAAGTCAGTCAGTGGCATGGTGGTTAAGGTGGCTGGATCTCACATGACTGACCGAGCAGTTCAAGTCCCAGCCTGGTTGCTTGAAAAACATGTCAGGCACTTATGGGACATACGTCTCAAAGGAGGAACAAAGGAAGGAGAAGGGATCGTAGTGCGATCAGCCCCATGGTGGGTGCTTTCTCACTTTTACTCTTGGTCGCTCTGTTTCTCTCCAGGGAGCACACACACTCTCTGGCAAAAATTTAAAAAATAAAATAAAATGAAAATAAAACTAAAAACATGATCTAGGGAACTAGCAGTTAGCGTAATGGCTATGTCGCTGGATTCCCATGTAGTTGACCACGGTTCGCGTCCCGGACCCGGTGGCTAAGAATTCACGCCGGGCACGTGTGCGTGCGTGCCCAAGATCCCAAGAGAAGAATGGAGGAGAAGGGATTGTGGTGTGACCATCCCCCATGGGGGGTGATTTCTCGCTTTCTGTCTCTATGTCTCCCTCTGTCTGTCTGGTGAGTGCATGCACCCTATAGCAAAAACCTCTCAAAAAACAAAAAAATGATCTAGTGCACATCTGTTTAAAACATACCTCGTTATTTCATATTTTATAGACACTACAAAAAGAGTGACCTTATTAAAATGGTTAGGAAAAGGGCTTAAAACTCTAATAGCCAAACACTAAAACATCGACTGCAAAAATGATGGAAAAATTTGAAAACCAGTTTAAATGTTCTAGGGAGATTAGCTAAATCCATCTGCATGACAGAATACTAGTAGCCAAATAATATATATTCAAATATGAGAGATTTCTGTAATGAGATGGTTATTAAATTAGTAGAGCCCATTCCATGAAGCACTGTGTTACAACAAACACACACAAAGGAACAACAATGAACTGCATATGAAAAAATGGAGGGAGCCATGGAAGAATAATTGAGGCACACACAGAGAGTAAAATTTCACTTCTTTCCAATCCCTTATCTTCTGTCAGGAACAGTGCCCAAATATTTGGTCTCCATCAGTAGTTAAACTCTGGGCATTTTTATTGAGAAGTTTCTTCCTCAATATAATATATCTGGAATTGAGATCATCATCTGTCTTCAAAGAGAGTGGGGGTCTAGCAAACCTCCTATTCCTGTCATTTTTTTATATATAATTTTTTATTCTTCCCTTTTTCTTTAAGAAAAATATTTAGTGCTTCCTCTTATTTAATATTAATCACTAAAATTTGGCTGTTGGCCATTTAATCTTGTCACCATTTCTTTGTTTTCCCCCCTCTGCTCACTGTAGGTGAGATCCCATCACTCTATCCTATGTTATTGAAATAATCACGTAATTAATATCCATACCTCTAATCAAATTTCTCTCTCTTTCTTCACTCCACTCTGTCTTTCTCTGCTTCCCTTGTTCTCTTCCCCTCAATCGTTTTCTGTCTCTCATTCTTTCTCTCCCTCTGAGATTTTAAGTTCCCTATGGCCATATTCATCTTCTTAGGACACATTTTGGTCATTTTATTTCCTTATTCCGAATTTTTTAATAGCTTTCTGAAGTGGATTGAATCTTAGACCCCAAAAAGTTATGGCCATGCTGTAACTCTTGGCAACTATGAATCATGTGAATGTGGAAAAGGGTCTTTGCAGATGTAATTAAGTTAAGGATCTCAAGATATGATCATTCAGGATTTACAGGTGGGCCCTAAATCCAATTACAAATATCCTTATAAAAGACACAGAGAGAAAGAAAAGAAGACCACATGAAGACAATGAAAGAGATTGGAGTTAGTCAGCCACGACCAAGAGACACCTGGGGCCACAACTAGTCGAAGCAGAAAGTCCTATTGAAAATTCAAATGATCAGATTATAAGAATGGGGAAGAAATCATTGAATAAATAATGAGTGATCATTCCTTGTATAAAAGAAAAATATGAACTTGCATATTCAAAGTGTGTGCTGAAAATCAAGGAAGATTTATCAGACTGTGCATCAAAACAGCTAAAATTATGACAGGAAAATTATTAAACATCAATGATCATTAGAATATTTTTTAAATAGCTGAAGAGAAATGGCAGTTTATCCATAAAGAAACAGTGCTATCACTGACAACAAAAATGCATAAAAATATGAAAATTCTTAAAAGTTTCTTTACTTGAAATATACCATAAATTGCATGAAACATTGACACTTACAAACCATAGACCACATGGCATAGTGGGAAAAAACTAGACACATCGACAGTAGACTGACTATCTAGTACTGATCCCTGTGGAAAATACACATGTGTTTCAGTGATTATGTGTACAGACATTTACACATGTGCATCTCCATAACTGTTTGCCTGGGTGATTATACACAAGCACACAGATAAATACATTCATCTATCCCTGATCTTAACATTGTAACTTCCTCTAGGTCTATAACAGGGAGACAAAATCCCATCCCCAAAATAACTGAAGAACAATAAAGAAAACTGCTGAACGTTACTGTTACATCAGTGTTGACTCATAGAAGTACACAAGTGGACAAGATCTGCTGTGTGAATTGGGGTTAAAAAAAGGTATAAACTATGTTGGGCTTCTAAATCTGCAGCCTAAGATAGGCAGAAAAGAGTGAACTCAGAGTGGGGAAAAACTAATAATGTATTGTACTAAAGTAAGCACAACTAGATGCTATCAAAGATATATGTTAAAACTAGCAAAAATAAATAAATAAATAAAGCCAAATAGTTACTTTTTTAATAGATTGTGCCAAATATTTAGAATTAAAAACAATACTGACTTCTGACAAGTCGTGAAGTAATTTATACAACAAAGTAAAGCCCAGTACAACTCACAGTTAATACATCTTTCATAACACATCACTAGTACTTCATTTACCTTTGACGTCCCTTTAGTAGAAAAATATAAACCAGATCTTCTTAGAAAGAAGTAAATTTTTTTCCAAGACTTCTTTCCCTGTTCTTTTGCATGTAAGAAGCCATGGATTTCAGGATATGTGCTTGAACTCAGAAACATCTGGGAGAAAAATTGGACACCTTCATATTATCATTGAATCAATATGACAATCTTAAACTAATCATGTTAAAATTTCAAATAGAAATATGTAAAATCAAACAGCATCAATAGCATTTACCTGTCATTATAGAAATCATAACATATACAACAGAAAATAAATCAGTCTTTCAAACACCTGAGACAAGTTCTAAACGCAAATACGTTGACAAAATATGCATTCTACATGATGAGTATTTAGTCAGTCACCAAAATATTAAGTTATTTGAATACCCGCTTGAAAAGCTGAACATCATTTATAGAGCTAAGTCCTGGTACTTTTCCTCATTTTCCATGGTCTCTGCTAAGATTATGTTTATCTATCAACTTCATTATGGTACAAGTTAGACTACAATCCTAATTTCAACTCTTAAGCAGAAAGTTGAGTCAAGTTCACTTCCTTGATGAGGGTCAAAAAAGCTCTTCTTTATCTTTTATAGTTCTCAGTTGTGAGTGGTTATGGTAGGTTGTGCTTCCCAAAGAGAAAGCCATAATGTCTTACTTCCCATGTGCTGTTCTCCAATGTAATCTTGACACTGATTCATGAAGAGATGAAGTCTGTTTCTCCACTCCTTTGAATCTGGGACAGCTCAGAAATGTGACTATCCTAGAACTACCATAAATGAAAAACAAAGAAACACAGTACAACCGGAAAGGCCCTGAAGGAAGAGATGTGGAGAAACAGAGAAAGGGAAACCAAGGGGTATATCGACACAGGTAGTAAAAACAAACAAGCAAACAACAACAACAAAAAACACTCTTGGAAGGGGATCATTGATCCTCAACCACTGAGCCAATGTTTCTGAAAGATAACCCATTCAGCTAAATTCTTCCCACACTCCTACTCCACAATATTGCTGGCGAAATGCTACTGGGTAGTTTAAGACACTTAAAGTTTGGAATAGTTTGTTACACAGCAATAATTAACTAAGACAGTGAGTGGATTTGTGTTGGTCCCTAAAACAACAATGGAAAGAAATCACTGTGAGAGGCTGTGCTCTTAATAAGACAGTAGAAATGCATTAGTGTCATATTACAAGAAGAAAATAAAAATCCTAATAAACAAATGCAAAATGGAAAAACTGAAAACAAAAGAAATTATATTAACTGAAACAATGTAACATATTTTTCAAAGCTATTCAGGGAACTGCTGATAGTAGTAGATATTTATGTATTTTTAAGTAAACTATTAAAATTTTTCATTTAATGAGCCACAGATATTAATTAATTGATATGCAAAACAGGCAAGTAGGTTTTTTAGTTTGAGTGCTTTCCAAGTTATTAAACTAAACCAATTAAATTTTAAAAAGAGAGTCATGGAGGTCACACTAGAAAAAGAAGAAACCTTTTAAAAAGTGGAAACATCGCCTCAGTGGAGAGAAGAGGTCAGGAGCACATGCAGGGCTATCTGTTCCAAAGCCTGTGATATTTCTTGTTTTTATAATTTAACATTAAAGCAATATAACAATGCTATAGAAAGGTTTTGGAAAGAAGGCAGAAGAAAAGCTTCAGCCCACACTGTGTCATAATACAGGGGAGGAGCACTCAGAAGGCTGAGATCCGGGTTTTGTGGCTCAGCTGTGCGGCCATTTACCTTAATATTCTGACAGGGAGACTCTGTGAAACTCAGAGACAGAAGAAGGAAGGCAAGTGGTATCTAGACACAGGTAGTAAACAAACAAACAAACAAACAAAAACAAAACAAAACAACAACAAAAAACACTCTTGGAAGGGGATCATTAATCCTCAACCACTGAGCCAATGTTTCTCAATGATAACCCGGCCAGCTAAATTCTCCCCAAACTCCTACTCCACAATATTGCTGGCAAAATGAGAGAGGACAGTTTAAGATACTGAGATGTGGAATAGTTTGTTACACAGCAATAATTAATTGAGACAGTGAGTGGACTTGTGTTGGTTCCTAAAACAATGACGAAAAAATTGTGCTTCTCAAAGAGAAGCAGCTTTTAGAAATATCTTCCTGGACTAACCATATTTCTAAAATATTCCAAAGCATGAAAATGTAATATAACTGATTAAAAAGTCTATAGAAAACAAATTTTTAATGGTATATCTAATGTATTTAGTCATGGTTATATTGGAAATATTACAAATTCCCTTTCATTAAAGATCAGGAAAAAACTAAGTGAGTTTGGGAATGCACAGGGTTTAGCTCAAAGAGCAACTGTTATAAAGATATTGCTCAACATTAGCCTGTGAAAAACAAACTGTAGAGCCTATAACCTAAACTCTACTAATTTATCAAAAATAAAATAATCCATTTGCTGTAATGTCAATGTCTCAGAAAGCAACTACCTCAAGCTGGCTAGTGTCAGTTTGGAAGAAATAAGCCAAACACCACAAAAAGTATGATTTTTTAAAATTAAATAACTAGTATTCTTGATTCAACTAAGAATATTTCACAATTCTACACAAGGATTTCCATCATAGTTATTGCAATTGTTAGTACATGAAACAGATATATTCTATACATTGTTCTTCCTTTCATTTAGTTATTAAATCTTTTGTCAGAAACAGGATTGAGCTCACTTATTCTGAAAGCTAATACTATCTGTTGGTACAATAAAATGTATAATTTACTGGAAATTTTGATTTTTTAAGATTAACAATCTTTGCACCCATCACAGAACAAAACTCCACAAGTTTCCTTGCATGATTCACATTTTTTAAGCTTATTGTATTCATAATAGGGATGCATACGAGAGAGAGAGAGCGAGAGAGAGAGAACTCTTAATACAGTCTCGATCCTTTTCACCCCACCCTCAACTTGTCAGGATACTGGGCATGTGCTTGGTGAAGATACACAGTTTTAAATGTTTAAAATCCTTTGACAATTCGCCCAAACTGTTAAGAAGAATGTTGTTAGAGAACTTCACTGATTTATGGCATTCTTTACTCAAATTTATTTTATTTTGTTTGACTTTAGTTACACCTCCAGCAAAACTTAATCATTCAAAGCATCACATTTTGAAATCTGGGCAAGTATAAATAAGAACCTCAAAACTTCCCTTTGTTATGTTATTATTTATACATTTCAATGAAAATATATTTTACCTGCAAAATTTGTATGGGGGATATTTCTCCATTGGTTTCAGTTGCAAAAGACACCATATGCTCTGGGAAAAAATACTGACAAAAAGATACAGATTAAATAATCCCAAAATCTGTGTAGGAAAAACTCAGTTATGACCCAAAAAGTAATCTAAAGCAGAAGTTCTTTAAACCAGTGTGTTTAAAATTCACCTGACATGCTTTCGAAAATGTCAGTCCCTGGACTCTACCCTCTGGAACCCTAATGAAACTGGAATTGGGCTCAAAGTTTAGTAAACACCCCCAGATGATGCCAACGTCATGAGATCCAACATACCTGGAGTGATCAACATCGCCCTCAAACTGACAGTGTGCTTGCTCCCACATCTTTTCCCTGAGTCCCACGACTGCTCCCCCAGGTATTAAAGGATTATCAACCTCATTTTTCAAAGCCAAGGCTCATAGAGCCAAAGGGTCATGATTTTCCCCAGGTCATAAACCACAACATAGAGAAGACAGGACTTAAAATGACTGGGAGTTAAATTCTAATTCTATCGAGTGTCATTCCAAGTATGTTTAACCATAAAATTCACCCAGGATACATCGAATTCCCAGGCCCTATACCTGGAGTTTCTGATTCAGCGGGTCTGGGCAGGTCTTAGATTCTGTTTCTTTTTTTTTTTTTCCTTCTTTTTTTTTTTTTTTTTTTTTT